GCAGAAGTTGAATCGTGAAGAATCATTATAATGTCAAGTCACAGTTTTCTGGTTCTTCTAACTTATCAAACGCATACATGTATATTTAACACAAAAACTCAATTAAATGACTGCCAGCGATTTATTACACTCTGACCAATGAAATGGAAGTAACAAAGGCTTTCTAAGTGAGTATGCTGTTACAGATGTGGAACTTGGTGGTAAGGTTTTCATACGAGAATACGGTTAAAAAAAGTGAGAAGAACATTTGGGTCGAGATAATGCCATTGACACCTTCATAGATTCGTAATCAATTGGTTAAATCTTATCCTACTCCAGTTAGTCAACCGTATTTTCAAAAAATAACTCCGTTTAAACGGAAGAGGTGACAGAGTAGCATATCTAGTGAAATAAATCTTAGTAGATGAATTAAAAGCGACTTTTTTTTTGTCTTAGACACTAATAGTTTCTGATGTTTTGTCCAAGTAGTATTTATAGGTTCCAGAACAATGTGTAAGGCATGGTGAAGAAGATTCGTTCCTCAACCTGTGGATAATTTTTATCAAATTGTATTCGGAAACTGAATCCAGATTACCTACATACTTTGGGACTATTCTATTATCTGAACATAGACTTGAGTTCTAAGTAAGTGTGGACCTTATTTTCCAATGACTGTGTTGCTTATTCGGATTTGAATGAACACAGTAAATGGAATAAGTGCATTTATTTAGCCACTGGTGCGACGAAATGATGGAAGACAATACAGATAAATTTTTCTAGCGATAAACTTTCAACAAATTATATCAGTTGAACTTAAAATGATAATAATTTTCTTCTTAACAATACAAAAATGGAACATTATTGGCACTAAAAGATTCTCGACTGAAAATTACTCATATACGGAAAAATAGTGTCTTCTGATAGTCAGTTTTTAATGGTTCTTTCAGCTGATTTTGAGCTATGGTAAAATATACTCTCAGGTGAATCGTTTTTCAATCGACCTTGTAGACGTATCATTTAGGTTGTATCATTGTTTTTCGTTCGCGTTTTTTTTGTGTAACGTTGGTAGTTCAGAAGTAAAACGCTCGCCAACTGCGCATGTGGCATGAGTATTTCCTGCTTCCTTGTGACTGCAGCACATCTTAAATGTATCTGGTCCTATGACACAGTCATAAATTTTAGATAAATTTACTCGAATATTTTATTTTGCTTTTTTCTTTGTTTTGAAGTTTCTGTAAAGATTGGACTGATTTTCAGGAGTAGGATTGCTAGCGCCACGCCCAACCCCTCCTCTTTTCCCAGGGCTTTGGACTAGCAAATAACTCGTAGACTAGAAAATGAGGCGAGGATATGGGGGATGGATCATACAACAGGCGATAAGGAGCGAAAAAAGGCTTACGATGGGCCAACAAATGACTCTAGAATCTCTGGACTTCGCGGGTGATTTATACCTGATGTCGCATAATCTGCAAGTCCCAGAGGAAAAGACAAAAATCTGATAGAGGAAGTGGAGAAGACAACACTTCAGGTTGGCATAGAGAAGGTAGAGATGGTGGAGACATCTAGCCGCTAACAACAAACACCAAACACCATAAAAAGTAGAAATCCGAACTAAATTACATTTGCTATTGAAGCCCCATGTTCCACTATGAACCCAAGGGGATATTTTCAGTAACAGCTAATACGTGGTGCTTTTAGTTATGCGATAGAAAACCAGAGCATAACACGCTTCCATTCCACTTTCCAGTTATTGTTTCACTTCTATACTACAATAATAGTAATAGACATGATAACTCCGTGCCCTAAATATTATAGGAACTTTGTCAAATGAACTAACCATAGTGCACTGTTTCAAGTTAAAAATCTTACATTCATGTGAAATTAAGACTCACCTGTAAGAAAATAATTATTATAATAATATTATAATATATTTCTGCATTCAGTTTCTCTTTTATTCTCTCCAGGATGATGCAACTTAGTATTTTACTTGGTGTAGACAAGAGCATGATTCCAAGCCAGTTCTTTCAGAGTGAGACGTGAGTCGCCTTTCTTTGGCAGCTTGAAAAGGTAACCAGCCTTTCTTCCAATTGGTAGGTACCTTTCCTTCTTTTCAAACCTTTTGCAATAATGGCATGAGCACTTCTGCCGTAGTCTCTGGGTCCGTTTTCTGCGCTTTGAGAGGAATTCCGTCCGGTCCTGCTGCCTTCCCGAACTTCAGTAGCTTGATCTCATTCAGGATTTCTGCTTATAGAACACTAATACTACTGATTTATTGAGTGCACAGCACTGGTAAAAAAATATAATAAATTATTGCAAACTGTGATAAACATCTCGTTTTCATTTTTGTTCTCTTTTTGTAGAAAAGAAAATTTTCTATCTTGAACAACAGGACAGAATCAGTGTATCACGAAAGCAGTGAAACATCAAAGGATGAAATAACAATTTTCTGTTCGTAAATGATACTGCCAGAGATTTGTTTCATTTATTTATTTATCTATCTATTTGTTTATCTATCTGTTTACTTGATTTTCCTTTTAAAAAAAATCAAAATCAAAATAGCAGTTTGTTTTGCTGCATTATTTATGCATCTTGGTGAAAGGAAAGCAAAAGTGATCCCATCTAGTATACTATCATTCTCATAATCGATTTCTCTTCCTCCTCGAAATGTCCAGATTCAGTGATGTCGTAAAATTAGAGCATACAAGTAAATTAGTCGGAAATTATTTAAGATTATTGGCGTTTATGTTGGAGTTAGAAGGTATTTTATTTATAATGCTGACTAGAACTCACTATGTCTCTCATCATTCTTCTTGTTGTTTCCTCCAGCTCCTTTTTGTTTTTGTTTTTTTACTTTGTTATCATTGTCAAGTCGTTATGATTAATCCCTAAGTGCTCAGAGTACACACTTTGTCGAAACTGACAATAGAAATGTTTTGTGTTGCACCAAGAACCTGCAAAAGAAGATATTTGCAAAGTACTGATATTATTATTACTAAACAAATTTTATTATTATTATCATCATTATTATTTCTATTATCATGACTGTTGTTACTGTTACTATAGTTATTACTTTTTTTAGTTCCGATTACTTTCAAGTTCTCCTCCTGTCTGGCATAACTGAACTGTAATCCATCATATTCACAATTGTAAACGTTTCATACCTCTTCCACACTCCGCCTGTGTGAACGTGACAATAAAGACACTAATGCCTTCCATTTCATTATAGCTGAACCACTGCAGTTTACTTATTATTCCCAAATAGCTCAATGTATGTTTTTATAGTTTTTATACCAAATGGCGTGTAGAGCATCCAGCTGAAAACTTCTACCGGAATTTGAAAAAAATTCACTAATTGCCACTTTATTAATATTTGGTTATTTTAAAATTATTATATTTCACCCGAAAAATAATTTATATTTAAAGTTTTGTTAGCAGAAATGACGCATGTGTTATTTTTGTCTCATTTAGATATCAGATGAATTAATGCATCAATTAATTAAATCATAAGATTGAAAACTGTAGTGACCGTTCGCTTGTACGAAATAACTCTAATAGTCCCAGAGTCAAGCTTTATAATACATCTATTACTATTATTGTTCCCTAGGGTTCCTACTGGAACACAGGACTTCAAAAGCACATCTCCTTTTTGTTCGAGATTTTACAGCCCTCTTCATCTGGAGCCATGATTACCCACAGTCTCTCATTTCCTTCTCACAAGATCTCCTCCATTTTACCCTCGGACCATCTCCAAACTCGTTGTTTCCCATTTCAGTTCCACTTCAGCTATGGCGTGGCACATGGTGCCATTTGAAGGTCTCCTCAGCGAGTGTTCGATCCATTTGTATTTTATTTGAGATATTTGTTGAACTATAGGTGTCTGGTTAGTTCGTTCCCAGAGGTCCTAGTTGTTAATTGTTCCTGCCATTTGATCTGCGATATGGAGTAGTGAAAGCAGCTGTCGATAAAGGTCTGAAGTGACCTGTTGGAAACGCTTTTCGTGATACACAAGCCAGGTTTCTGACCCTAATGGAAGAACTGACTGACTCAACATTGGTGTTGAACACCCTAACTTTGTTCCTTATGCCGAGTGCAGTAGATTTCTAAACTGAATTCAGTTTGATGGTGGTCGGCGTTGCTTTTCCGATTGTGATTTTGACATCCTCATCTTTGGTGTGTGTCTGCAGTTGGAACGATGCTTCGTAGATAAGTGAAAGAAGTGACCTCTTTCAAATTTCTTCCATTGCTAGTGATTGGTGCTTGTCACTGTTGTTGTTTGGTTGGTTAAGTATCTTCATCACTTTCGTTTTCTCTGTGTTCATTTTCAGTGCTGTCTTTGTTGCTTCTCGTGTAAGTTTGTTGGTTTTAGCGTGTAGGTCTTGTGTTTGTGTGACATTATTCATAAATCATGCACGAAATCCAGATCTTCTAGAGACTCCTTACCGGTCCAACGTATTCCTATCTTCTCGCTCCCAACACATTGTATGACGCGCATTCTAGTCCACGACTAATAGCAATATAATCAGTGACAGTAGGCAGCCTCATCTAACTCCTGTATTTATTTCAGATTCTTCGCTAAATTCTCTGTTGTGAATCGCCTGATACATGTCAGTGTCACACTGCTGTCAGGTGACGTTGATAAAGCTTTGGGGTACACTGCAGTGTGGAAGTAGTTTTCAGATTACAATACAACTACTAGTTATCATTATGTCCTCGGGTTCCGAGCGAAGCATAGAGCTTCAGCAGCACATGCCTATTTCATGGTATTCTCTGCAGTCTATTTTTAGCTAGATCCACTACTGCTAATAAGTTTACATGTCCTCCTCACATTGGCATGCTTATTTCTTCTTTCCTATACCCTCTGCAAAGTAAACAAATGCATGTAATATAAATAATATTTCACTGGAAAAAATACTTACCATGTTTAAACATGCGAGACAATTGTGTTCTGTTATTTCTATAAGTAAACAGTCTCTTTTGTCATACAGAAGAGGTCAGAAAAGCAGCAATTAAATTGCGATTCTATGGTTGATCCTGAAGATCGAATCTGCATGCCTGTCCAGGTACGCTAGTAGATCCTACATCTGTAAGACATAATGACAGTGAAGATGGATATATGAAAGTCAGATAATCAAATGTTCCAGAAAACGAAAAGAATATTCATTTTCTGACTACACTAAATTTAGAGGTTTTGGAAGCTTCATGTTAGTCCATCAGGGGAAAAAGTCAGCTGAAACCGAAAATGCCTTTTGTTAACGAAAAAATTCTAAAATTTTAAAACATTTAGTATTATGCAAGTCCTAACTTTACATTTTGGACTTTATTTCACAGTTCACTTGATGAAAATCTTTTCTAAACAGTCAAAGTTTCCCTTGAAGTGGATTATCGCGAAACGTCTTGTCGATAACTCTAAGTTGGATGATATTAATGAGATGTTCACACTGAAGGCATTGCAGTGTGGCAGATTATAATTCTGTATTAGGCAAATTTATCTAATATAACAATAATTATCTAATTACAATATTTATACTTATATGGGTGTTTAAGTAACTTGCTGATTACCCGGTTTTCTCCTAGAGTGTATATACTTGTTCTGACATTTGCAATATCATATGTCGACTTCATCTTCATCACTTGTCTCAGTCCCTGTTTGATGTCTAATTGTAATGCTTCTCTTTGTAGTTGCGCAATAATTTGTTATTTCACGATATGATTTTTCTTTGGGTGAATGAAAGTCATTCTGACCTTAGACTGTCCACGGGAAGTGTTGTTATGCTTTTCTTGTGGACAGAAGTTTTGATCCCACCTTGTTGGGAACAGTCTACTTGATTCTCTGTTACTTCTTACAGGTGAATTTTGGTCGGCAAATTTTGTTCTACGGTACTTGTTTTGTACTGGATAATTGTCTAGACTGTAAGGCTGCCTAACGGCACTGTTGAGGTGATTTTTAATCGTGATATATTATGCCTGGGGAATATTACCCCAGAATTTATTGCAGATAACTGTCTTTTTGCTGTCACTGGGCCATTATATGACTTTATTTTGATTTTGATTATAGCTTGATTCCACACCGTATTTTTGGTACAAGTATGGGATTCTCAGCATGTGATATCGGTAGCCTAAATTTCGCAGACCGACCATAGATATCAGGTGTGCGTCGGCAGGGGATCGAACCCCGGACCATGTGCATGGTCGGCGAGAGTCCTAACCACTGTGCTACCGACGCACTTGAGTGACTCAACGAAGTATTGCTCAGCTGTACAGTAGAAAACACAGATTAGTTCACAGCATTCAAACCACAACACGTCAGTTTTGGCTGTTACAATTACACAGATATCCTGAGTAGAATTTATTGCTCATAATCATGTTTTCACATTACAGTTGCTATTCAAAAACACAAGACTTTTTATTATTTATCATTATTATGCTATTGATGAAACAAATGTATTCAGTAATTAGGTTATTTTGGAAATAGGCCAAAAATTTGACTACTATTTGTAGTCGAGAACAAACAGATAATCATCTCATGATAGTTCAGATGATGGCAAGTGCCCTTTGACTGTAAGTTTCCGATAGTTTGAAGTGAATGAAATTTCTGTGAAATGCCTTTATCTGCACACAAAATCTGTCGAGCGGAGAAATGCTATATTTTTCGGTTGTATCAAGTTATCGCTAATGTAAGTGACGAGAAGCTGAGTGGATCAAAATACTTTTTAGTGAAATCTAAAGCAATAACTGTAGCTTTTCTTTCATTTTTCAGTAAAATGTAAAAGTTTTTTGTTTAAGCAGCTGCGTCCCCTACCTCAGACACTATAGTGGCCAGCTAGTAATACGGAGGTCTTTGGTCCGGATTTCTGTACCACGTGGGTTTTCATTTCACCTTCGCTCACGGTTCTTTACATCATTTTTCTTCTGAGACTATCTCTTATTTCCATCATACAGTAGACTCCTCCTTATTTTGGTTAGTTACAAATAAAAAATTTAAGGTGATTGAAGTGAGTGACCTCCATACACTGAGTGCCATTAAACTCATCATTTACACCTGAATATATGGATAGAATTTTGACTGAATAATGAATTCTGTATAATGTTTTATTCATTTCTTAACTCCATCGACTTTTTAACCTCACTCTATATTTCCCATCGACATATTCTACTACTTTATTCAGTCTTTATCAGTAACTAGTGTGAGACACACTATGGACGATAAAATACCCTTTTGTTAAGTAGTTGCCAAAATCATGTGGAAAAATCGAATCACTTACCTCTGCCCATTTATTTTCCTGTTTTAGGATGATCAGTCTATTCTAACAAGTTGTCATTATTATTCATTGCTTGCATTCCGAGTGGAAAACAGGGTTTCAGCGGAGCACTTCCGTTTCATTGTGTTCAGTGCGGTTGCTTTTAGTGGGTTCCACGACTGCTGATATGCTTCCATTTCCCGTCCATGTAATCTTTTCTGTGTCACCCTCACTTCCCATTCAGAGTCTACTCGACTGCCTGGCTTGTGATGCTATCCCACAGTCTCCTTGAACGTCAGTTCAGCGAAAGTCCAATTCACCCCCACTGCCTTCTTCATATAAGTTATCGGTTGGCTGACTACAATGATACAGTTCCTTGTTACTTATCTTTTCTGGTTGGCGATCTCGTGCTAAGTGTCGCCCCTATAAAATGTAAGATGATGCTGCAGGATTGGACTTCATCGACCCCTAGATTAGAAATAGGAAGTGAAGTGGTAGAACACGTTGACCGCTTCACTTACTTGGGAAGTACCATC